CCCGTTTACTTTCCAATCACCCATTGATAGTAATTTCAGGTATTCTTTCTCTTCCGTCGCGGTAGAGGTTATGTATCGACTCGTCACCTTCCACTAGCTCGACATTGGAAATTTCATACACTTCTTGTAACAGCAGAGAGGCAGTTTCGACGAAGTCTCGCCCTTCCGGATGCGGCGTAAAAGAAGGGGCAATATTCCGTGAAATTGGATCAGGCTGGACGTTGAAAGAAAGAGGAAAAAAATAAAGAAAAGAAAAGTGATTCGAGCGCTCCGAGGGCGCGTCGCGTCGAGAAGGGCAATTAACGGAAAGCCCGTTTGGAGAAATGGCGCGGAGGAAATTTCAGCGCCGAGTCGGGTCCTTTAACTTTTGCCGTTTCCCGTTAACAGGCTGCAACCGTGCCATAACCCGGGCGAAATTACGGAATAATGGGAGGCACTGATTAAATTCGCGTCATAGCTGGCGCGAGGCAGAGACGCAGCTGCGGGGTGCAAACGCGTCGTCCGCCATTTTGAATCGCATTTCTCCCTCTACATTTCTTCGAGTTAGCTGCGCTTTTATATTTAACTCGATACGCAAGTCTACATTTTCCTTTATCGATTGTTAAGCTGTTACGAAAGGACCGTTCTGTGTATATCAAAACGTCGAAAGATTTATTAAACATTCCTCTAAACTGGGGGGCCACCTACTAATTCGAAACTTTAACACGTAACCAGGAAGGCCCAATGAAGGTCGAAGGAAACTCACGAAATTTCATTCTTCGAAATTAATCCTTCTCGTTCCTGTCCGGGATATAATAAATAAATAGTTTTACTTTTTCACGTTAAAGTTTAAGATTATTCGGTGCATCCAGTTTGGATAACATATGTATATATGGAATGACCCTTTCATATCAGTCGGCTATCTTGAATTTCTCGCAGTTTCAAGTGTGAGTGATGAAAAATGTACGCATATTTTTCGACTTAAAAACAAAAAAAAGAATGCGTTGTGCTCTCGAGGGCAAAAATGCAGCTAACGGTCCGTCACAGGGACGAGATCAAACCGACCGCCGCAAATCGCAATTTGAATTTTTTTATATCCTCGTTGACTCGAAATAAAAAAGGGAAAAAAAATCGTCCCATTTTCCGTAGGAGAGGTCTGCCGCGTTTCCATCGTGGCAATTTTCGGATGATGTACTGCATTTTCCGCCCTTTTTATAGAGAAAGGTGTACAGGGATCGTGAAACAGGAAGGTTTCCGGATAATCCGTATTCCCGATCCTCTCACCCCATCCTTCCCCCAGGAAAATATTCCGCTCGGCCGTCCCGTTTCTCCCGCGCTTTGTCCCCGGGCAAAATAATTGCTTTTTCCCATTTTCTTCCGCGATTTACCCTCGGCCTTTAATTAAATTTCTCGGGCACTCCGAGCCCGATAAATTGCCTCGAAATCGAGACGGCGAACGGTGGCCATCGGTCCTGATGAGAAACTTGGAAGCCTTTGAGCTCTTCCGGTCCAAAAGCGACCCCAAAAAGCGTCGATTTCTTCCGAAATTAATCGGATTCCGAAACGTTGCATAACCCCGGTTTTCCTCTGTTTTGCCACCTTCGGTTCCGTTTACTCTAGTACAGAGGGATTATTAAAATAATAGCAGAATCCGGCTCAATCGAGAAAATAATACTACAGAGTAAGAAGTTTAAGTGTTAAAATATTGAAATTAAAAATTTGCCCTTTATCAACTTTCAAAAAGGAAAGCAAATAAAATTCGACACGTTAAATAATTATCGCTCCTCCACCGAGATGGAAAATTCATCCAACCAACGGGATATTTCCTTTGAACAGTGTCGAAGAGATATTCGGTAAAGTAAAGGAAATCATTCCTTGTCTCTAATAAACTCAATCATAAATTCTCGCAATTCCGAAGAAACGTGGCATCCAATTAATTCGATTTTGAGTGATGTAATTATATTCTGAATTAACAAAACATTCTCGGTGGCACTATCGAAAGAGATATATTTGTCCGGTTCAATGGCGTTCCTTTTTTTCTGTGCGGTCGCAAAAGCGGAGCCGCGAGGAGGAAATTAATAAATGATAAACTGAACAAAATGGCGTCCTCGGGGCAGCCTCGGATGGGTGGAAGAATTTGTTCGGGAGCAAGGGAGGACCGCAATTTTAATATTTCAAGCCCGACCGTTGACACGGTACCTCTGGGCCGAGGGGCTGCGGCCGGTCCGCGACAGAAATTCCGCACCCCTGGCGTCGCGAGAATTTATGCGAGCCGTGCCCTCCCGGGTTATTTGCGTACTCGAAGGAAACCGATGTCGCAACACCCCCGGAAGGGAATTCGCCAGGCAAGGGGTGCTTATTTTGAGGACGTCGAAGGAACGCTCGCAAAATCCGCTACGCGTTCGTTCCCGGTCGTAACCCTTTCGCGTCCTGGGGGTGGATTCGAAATCCCATTGTCCTGCCGCCCTGCCCGGCCATTTAGCGAAAACCCTCGGGATTCGACCTGTCGAGATTAATGCGCGGCCATTGCGGCTACCCCGAGGATACATCGTCGAGGGTGCTTTCGAGCAGGGTGGGCAAGAATCCTTGATTTTTTCCGCTTTCAATCATTATTCCCATCTGAAAAAATCCGCGGGTACAACATTGTCGCCCTTTTATTCGATCTCTGATTGGTTGCCGGAAGCAACATAAAACATGTTCATCGGGCACCTTCGGTCGTTCCATTTCGACAGTTTACATTCATGCAATTTCATATCTGATAAAACAATGTTTTCCATTTATTCCAGACTAGAGCCAAGAACACATTTCTATTTTTAAATTAAAATTCACGAGTACCACGTTCTTCCTTAGGGTCTCCATACTCACCTACTGAAGTTTCAAATGATTCGGTGAGAAAAGGGGATTACTCCGATTCTTCCGAATGCTTTAATCAGGAATGAATACCTTTTAGAAATCTCTCTGGAGAATATCCCTGAGATAATTGCGGCGACCTACGTACTCTTCGGGGTTGCTCTCTCGGAGGGAGGCGAATAATGCCGAGGGTGGTTTCCTGCTCGTCCGCCGGGTAGCGTTCCTCCGGTCGTTCCCCTTTCCGTCTGGCTCGACATTTATCTTCAACGGGGTGTTTAGGTGGCGGAGGGTGAACACGAGCCTTCCCGGGATCTGAGCGGTTTACAGGGCGCGGCGGAGGGTAACTCGTGGTTACGTTCTGCGTACGTATCTCTGTACTCGGCCCGCACTCCCGTAATTCCTTTCCTTCCTCTTTCCAGGGTGCGAAACAACCGGCGTCACCTGCTCCCCGACCAGGAATTATATCGTTGACGTCGACCTCCCTCACCTCGTAAAAAGAAAAAAAAAAAAAAGATTACGATATTACACGTATGAATAACAATACTTACCCGTTAAGGCGGTACGAAAGGGTCATTCCGTGTATATCAAAACGTCAAAATATTAATAAAACTTTTCTTCAAACCGGGTGCATCGAATTTTATCCATTAACCCGTGATTATGGAGGTCCTAACGGAGGTCTTGAAACTCCCGAAATTTTTCATGTATCTGAGATCATGATTTTGCGTGTATATTTATAAAAAAGAATTCATCGAACCAATGGAATATCTGTTTAATTCAAGGAATTTGACTCAAGTTAACTCGAATAAATTGTCATCATCCCGAAGAAACGTCGCGTCTAATTTATTCGAGTCTAATAATTACTTTTCATATTAACAAGATAGTTCTTTGGTATTAAAAGTAATATTTCTTTGGTTAAATGACACTTTCTTTTTCGCGCCTTGGGACGTAAAAATGGCGGATGCACGTATCTCGTGGAAGCAAGGCGTGCCTTAACTCGGGCCGCGAAACGCATTTGTGCGCCATGTTTATACACTACTCCCGGAAAGCCGGGACCGCAAGGGGTAGTTCGCAGTCCATCCGCGGAGGGTAGCCGTTTCGACTTGCAAATGGCGCCCCGAACAAATATACATTTCAGGAGCTCGGCCTCAAAGTGGCACGAATCCGCCCGGCGACGGGGGTCGCGTCCCCGCGATCCCGAAAACGGAATTCCGTTACCGAGATGGGTCCACGTTATTTCGGAGTCCATTTCGGCATTCCTGGAAAAGGAAAGAAAAAAAAAAAGAGCGAAGGAAAAATTCAACGGTCACGCGAAAAACACTTACCCTCTCGACTTTTCCAGACGTCTACACCCTACGTGCCCGATTTGGAATGCAATGAAGAAATTCCTGGAAAACTCTTCCAGGAATTCTGACGGATTTGCGCGAGACGTCTCCTAGTGGACATTCGTAAGCCGTTATAGCGTCCTTCCGTTAATGTGAATAATTGCTCGAGATGTCTCGAATACAGGGGAGAACTCAGGACTCAAGTTCCTTTTCCACAATTCAATCGGACGATTAGTTGGGAAGATATCAGCTATCGAAGTCGACCAATGAGCGCGCAGTTCCGTGATTGGCCGGTTTCAGTCGCGGATATTTTCGGAACTAACGGTCCGACTAAAAAACGGATAAGGAACTTTCGGTTCCGAATTCTCCTCTGTTTTGTTTATGAGGAAAATTATCAGTTTCTCAGACGCTCTGTACAGTCGGGGTGAGGAGCGAGAACTTCTCAAGATGTCGCAAGATGGCGCGAGCGGCGTCGGACGCCGTCGGGGTGGAAAATTGGATGCTAATAATAAAGCCGCTCGTCGGGTTTGAATCTCTCGGAGCGCATCGATTAAAAAACGGAAAAGGAACTTTCGGCTCCGAATTCTCCTGTTTCGTTTATGAGGAAAATTATCAGTTTCTAAGACGCTCTGTACAGTACAGGAGCGAGAAGTTCTCTCGCAAGATGGCGCGAGCGGCGTCGGACGCCGTCGGGGTGGAAAATTGGATGCTAATGATAAAGCCGCTCGTCGGGTTTGGATCTCTCGGAGCGCAGCCGTCGGGCTCCCGGGCGGGCGATCGATCGAGTGGAGCTCTGGAGAGGATCCTCGAGAGCGACTCCCGACTAAGCCGTCGATTTTCGCCTTTCAGAGCTGTGCGAGGAGTGGGCCCTGGCCAACAGTCGCGAGTGCGTCGAGGGCGGCGGGGGCGGCGCCCCGGAGGAGGCGGAGGCGGAGGCGACGTTCACCTTGAAGTACCTGGGGAGCACCTTGGTGGAAGCGCCTTCCAGCGAGGAGGCCACCGCCGAGGCCATCAAGACGGTCATCACTATGGTACGACGACACTTTGTATATACAAAAGACTAATGGCTTCGCTCGTGATACGTGCAAACAGAATTCGAAATTCATAACTTTTTTTACCCCCCTTCCCTTCCTCAAGATGATACGAAAGGCGCTGAGAAATTGAATCGAGGTTCATAAATTGAAATTGATCTATACCCTTTTTGGTAGTAACGATGACGTTACTACCAAAATGATTTGAATACTCAAGTGGTAACATAAGCTAGCGCGTCACATTACCGACATTTATATTTATATCGGTCTTTTGTAGTCTACGTTGATAATAATACGACCTGATGCGTTCCATGTGTCATTTCAGAAAAGTATTAACGAAGATATCGACGTAAAACTGTCGAAATCCCGGGAATTCATTATCCTAACGACTGTTCAGGACCGACGTCGCCATCTGTGAGGTTTAGCTGGAACTAAAATTTTCCTCTAAAAACCCGCGTTAGCCCCGAGACAAGCCAGCACTCTTTTGCAATCGCTAGTGAATGTATTTTCCATATTTTCCCATCCGACTCTGTAATATTTCATTTCTACGGTATTCTAAATTATTCGAGCTAGGTCCAGAAACTCTTCATTTTCTATTCTAAGCCTCCAAGAAGCGTAAAACATCGAAAACGTGCACGGGCCACGCTATGTTGGTTCTAGTCCATGAAAACTAAATACATTTTCGATGAAAAATAAAATTCCGTGAGTTTCAGGACCTACTTCAGAGCCTCCATATTCCCGTGGTAAAATGTGAAACGAATCGGTACCTCCAATTCGGAAAATACATTTGCCAATGACTTGACTTCTCAGATACATATATAGGTTGACTCTTTCATATCACCTTAATGAGCCGTATCGTCGGAACTCGTCTAATCATCTGGACTATTTTCCGATTTCAGGAGGGCGGAAGCTGACGCGTTTTCATTTTCGGTTCGAAAAGTGCAGCAGATCACGTCGAGTTGACGCGGAATGGGGATGCGTTGTTTGCACGTAACATCCCCGTTGCGGCATCCATTACGAGAACGAGCGCGGCACTTAATTAGCGCGGGTTCACCCCGGAGGCAAATACGACCAATTGGCTAACGTCCCGGACGCCCGGACATTTTTACGAATTTGCTACGAGCTAATTAAACCGACTCGCGGCCCTCGTTCCGGAGATCTAAGAAATAAGCGCGGCTAAATGTATTAATGCGCCCTCCTGGAAAGTCGGAGCGACTTCGCCTCCTTTAAATTTTAAGTCTTACACTTTACGTCTCCTCTTTTCAGGCCAAAGCCAGCGGGAAGAAGCTGCAAAGAGTCTCCCTCGCGGTGAGCTTAAAGGGGATCAGAATGACCGACCTGGCCACGGAAGACGAGCAACTGCAAATCTCGATTTACAGGTAATTTTCCGGGGCAGCTATTGACATTCCCTGTATGATGCAACTTATCGTTAAGGTGAAGTGAGACACGTCGAGAAATTTCATCGACGTCGATAAAAAAAAAGATTCCTTTAACAAAGTGTCCCATTCGAGTCGACTGATTTCAGGCGGGTTTCATTCCACCCTATTGACCTTGCCGAAGCTAACTTTTTTTAGCCACGATTCGACCTATGCATAATTTTTCTAGGATCTCCTACTGCTCGGCGGACGCTACGCACGACCACGTTTTTGCATTCATCGCGACGAATCTGAACGAGACAATGGAGTGCCACGCGTTTTTGTGTCCTAAAAGGAAAACGGCGCAAACGGTGACGCTGACGGTGGCCCAGGCTTTTAACACTGCCTATGAAGCGTGGCAATTGTCGCAAACGGACCCGAGAATTCATCACGTGGTGGACAAAAGTCCTCCTCTGACCGACGAGGGAATCGGTACGGATTTCTTTGATACAAGATTTCGACCATACAGTGGATCGAGACAAAATGCGGACGTTCGTTAACCTCAGCGGACGGTGTCGGGATTAATTGGGCACAATGTATCGCATGTCGTTCTCGTAACGCGCCTGTCCATCGACGTAACGAATATTCCAGCTCTATTTGCATCCACCGCCGTGTAGCTACGTTAACAACAAGTTACACGTGATATCGTGTCTATGCGTCACGGACGGTTTTTTTGCACGATAATTAATTTCGCCAAATTATCCGGGAGGAATTAACGAAACGCTATGACCGATATCGACGTTGTAAGAGTAATTACAGGATTGACGTTGGTATCCATTTGTTCGTGCCGTTTCATTGCGGGGCCGTGATAGGACTTAAGTGTAGTTGATTTTACTTCTAAAAATACGTAAAATCGAATCGATTTTCAGGTTGCGACGACGAGGCCGTTACCGATTCCAAGGTTGACGCTGATTATCCGCAGAAGAGGAAGCAGCATTCACAACGACGCTCGGCCAAGGAGACCCAGAAGAACCTGCTGATCGATTTGTCGAACGATGTCTCCGCAAAGCCGGCAGGGAACTCCTGGGTGAGTGTTAACGTAACAATTTTCGATTTATCAAGGAGTATTAAGGTGATATGAAAGGGTCATTCTTTATATATATATAATGTCAAAATAATTATGGGTGCACCGAATTATTTGAAACTTCAGCACGTGACTACGAAGGCCCTAAGGAAGAACGTGGTGCTCGTGAAATTTCATTAAAAGAAACAAACTTATTCTTGATTCTAATCTGACAAATAAAAAAAATTGATTAAAAATGAAATTTCATGATCATCATGTTCTTCCTTAGGGTCTCCATCATCACATGCTGAAGTTTCTAACGATTCGGTGCGTCCGGTTTGAAAAAAAGTTTTATAAATATATTATATATGTAGAATGACCCTTTACTATTACCTTAACGATCGACGGTAGTCGGTAATATGTGTAATGATCATGTTGTGTTCGTTGTAGGTGAGTTTCGAGGAGGAGGAGAACAAGAGGGCACAAGGGCGCGGCTCCGCGACCGGGATCCCCATGACGACGTTGCGTCAGGCGTCCTCCTCGGCGCCGTCGCATCATGTGGTGCCGAGACCCTCGCCGGGATTCAAGGTCCAAAATGCCTGGGCAGAGTCGAGGTCGGTCGACCTGGTGTGCTCGTAGCAGGCGTAGCCTCGGGCCGACAACTTCCGGGACGTGCCGCTAATCACGGGGCTCTGGAAGCACCTGTCGAACAGCGGCCAAAGCAAGCGAGTCGGCTCTTAAGACCGCTCAAAGGTTGATATTTAGTGATGGAAGATGTCGAACTTTATCCAAAGATGATTAGCACGTATCGCGCGACTCCTGGTGAGAGCCCCATGGAATGTTGGATCAGAGAAGAGCGATCGTCTTTTTAACGTGGGTTAGGGTGGAGGGTAACACGGTAGATCTGTAAGCATCGAAGGAAGATAACGTAGGATTCCTTCACAGAGTACGGTGCAACTTGAGTCGCTTACCTTGGTGAAGCCGGAGACAATTCCAGGAAGGGAGATGAAAATGCGTGCACAAGTTTTCATATCTTGTGAGGATGCATGGGTGTTGGGCGATTCCCCGATGGTGTTCGGTGATCGGTTTGCCGAGTCCGGTTACTTGGATCGACTATTAACGTAATTAATCGAGCATTCGGCTGCATCGGAGCGTTGATATGTTTCATCGACAAACTCGTCTCGTCGTTAAGGTTGACCATTTGTGAAAATGCATGGAGAATGACAAATTATCGTACTCATTTGATATAGATTTCGGTATGTGTTAAGATTAGCATTAACGTAATGAAATGTGACCGACACAAAGCAACGTACATGAGTATACGTACATCCACTGCAAGTAGTCGTGTACCGTTTCTTCAATACATGTGAGCTATGTGAACGAAGTACGATCGTGTCATGAATGTTTTTTTCTTACCTTCTCTTTAAACATCCACGGCAAAGCTCTAGGATCCTTAATCCAACCATCCTTTAACATTTGAAACCTGCCACTTCTTTGAATTTACCACATTAAATCATGACAATTCATGAAAAGCTTTAAATAAATTTTGAAAAGAAATCATAGGGGAATAAAAGCGATACTCATGAAGTAATTAACATTTTACCGCTTTAGATTAATTTAAATCATATTATTCCATGCTGTGGCCATGTGTATTGACCGTGAATGATCCAGAATCGAATACACAATATATTTCTTATTGCACTCGCTAATGTGTATATCTATTAAAATATACGCGCAATTGTCTGCTACCATACCAAAATCCAAATAAAGTGGTAAATTCATGCTTTGACACGTGCTTGCTACGTCCGTGAATCGCGATGAAGAATAAAGTTTATTATATCTTGATGACAAAGTGACAACAGAGATAAATTGGGAGATTGCTCACGGACAGGGTCGCGCGATCGCATCGTGTGCTGCCCTCTGGTTTTGTACGTGAGCTTTCACCGTTTTTGCCCCCCAAGGGCGGTGCAACGAATTTCTGGTAGGGGCTCGCGCACTCGCGATGGCGGTGCCATCTACCAGTCGTCGCTGGCGGCTAACGTACTCGTGATGGTAATACCATGCGGCAGTTGACGGTGATAGCTTACCTACGCTTACAAACACTGCTCGCCTTTGATGGTAAGGAAAGAACACTCGTGGCGCCCTTTTTGATTTTACCCTTCACTTACCTCATTTATTTAATCCGCAAATGATACAGGCAAAATTACAACGTGGGTGCTCGAGAGTTAAGATATACTGTAGATATGTCATAACGCAAAATAACGACGGTAAAATCCGTCGGGTCCCCCCCTTTGCGTCACGACACGACGGATTTTCCCGCCGGGTCGTGCGTTTACGACTGTTATCGAGTGATATTCTAGTGTTTTCGATCGCTATCGAGCGCTTTCACGCGCTTTTCGAGCGTTCTCGAGCGTTTTCGAGCGATTTCGAGAGTTTTTCGACCGTTTTCGATCATTTTAGAGCGTTTCTCGATCATTTTCAGAGCGGTTTCGAGCATTTTCGAGCGTTTTCAGACCCTTTTTGAGCGCTACCGAGCGTTTTTCAACTGTTTTTGAGCCTTATCGAGTGCCGTACAGTGCCGTTGAGTGTTGTTAACTGCAGTAGAGTGCAGGAGAGTGCCGGAGAGTGTCGGAGAGTGCCGCAGAGTGCCGGAGAGTTGCCGGAGAGTACCGCAGAGTGCCGGAGAGTGCCG